AAAAAAATTTTGCAACAAGTAAATTCTCACGTGAAAGTTCCACCCTGGAATTCTTGGGGCTGAAGCTTGTTCTCGCGTGCTCGCGCAGCCAATTCCTGAAGGAAAACTCTTATTACTATCAAATATATTGCTACTTCAGTACATCAGAACTTTCCAAATGGTTACCACCGAAGAAAAATCGAATAAGACAAAACATTAGCATACCAAATTGCTGTTGCGCAATAGCTTACCCTAACTCTAGCCGATATGTCCTGTACTCCCATAATGTCGGCTGAAAAGACTATGGGAGTGATAAGTCCGTTAGGAGTGGCAACAGCGACAGAGATATCGACTGTCGGCATATACTGTACTTGTTCATTTGCATAACGCACATTTACTTCAGGAACAGCCTAAAACAGGTCACAGATAAAAAGGATTGCCAAGATATATCTAAAAGAGAGGAGAAGACAACGATTGGAATGCTGATCTTACCCGAAGTGCAAGTGCAGCGGCCTTGATGAGAAAATCATTGATCGATACAGCCACATCTTTTGCGCGTAGATCTGCTTGAATAGCGAGGATTGCATCTGCGCGAATATCCGCAGACTGATATTCATGAGGGATTGATTGCTAAAATCATATTAATATACACGGGTACAGAGATGAATGCCAAAATAAACAGGAAAGGACAAGACGAACTCAAAACGTTGCATGACAAAGGACTCAGAAAAGAAAAAAGGAACATACTTTGGACTGAGTCAGCCTTTTTGCAATTGTAGCACGTACATTAGAGAGAGGAATATCAACAAACGGGTCCACATGTCGAACAGACCCGACGGGACCTGCAGGAGCGGCAGCCTGTAGAAAATTATAACTTAAAAAACCTTTAGAATTCAAGAAAGGTATATAAATAATAATAAATCGCACCTTTTGAGGTTTAGCAGAAGAAGGAGCGGGTTGCGGAGGTGGACCCACTTTGAAAACAACGGGCTTGAGATTACCGGCTTTGATTACACCCATAACGTCACTAAAGTCATCTATTTACGCTTTGACTTATGGATTTATTAATTTATGGACTTTAAAATCATATAAAGCACCTTTATATGTATCTTTTATCTCTGAATTATCTTTTATCTGTAGCTTTTAAGTATGTTTCTTTTGAAATATTTTGTTTAAAGGCCCTAAAAGTGTTTACAAATCACGCCAAAAGTAGTGTCTATACTGTTGTCACCCTTTGTCATCTGTCAGCAAAAAATTGACATGTCATCTATCTAATGTGCATGTTTTATTTAAGTTTTGACACCTACTGTTTGACGGATAGCGACAGCAACAAAACCAAAAGCCAAAATTTAACACTTTGAAACTATGCGACGGGACCCTCATACGAATTTAGAGCCTGATAAAGAGGAGTCAATGGTATAAAAGTGATTAATGTCATTCTTTAGCATCCTTACCCTTTCAAAATGTTGTGCTTCGGGCCAGTTGCTTTCACATCCTTCTCATTGATTCCATATTGCAGCATCAGCAGCTTCACCGCTGGACCACATAATCCACTGGAAAACAAAATATCTGTCAATCAGTGGTGCAGCCAAAAATGAAAAAATATTTACGTTGATCCGTGTGAGGAAGTGGAGAGCGCTCTCACCGACGATGCAATGCTGCGGCTTGAAAGCATCGCTGAGCCCAAGGTCGTCCTAGACCGTCTATAAAGCGAAAAAAGGTGAAATAAAACAACACAGATAAAAATGCCTGCAATAACTTCTCATACATCATAAGGAGTACGATTTACCACAAGAGACTTAACAAACAAATGTAAAAGAACATTTAACAGCAACTTCGACTGTTTCAGCTGTTGCTTCACGAACAGGTACGTTCTTTTTCAAAGAAACCGCAATAGAAATCTTCGCCGAACTCAAGGTTATCGAGTTTTGTGCACTTTAAAGACAGCCGTGTGAAAATTGATCGAATGTGTACTGCACACATGCAAGTAATCCGACGCCAGCTTTTGCCGTTGTAATTTTGTAAAGCTTTTTGGATGCTCTACGTGTCGTAGCTTTTGGATGTTCTAATCCGACTTTATTGCACTTGTTTTGAGGATTTCGGGTTCGGAATTCTCAAAAGTTTTGTTGAAACAGCTTGTGGTCACATTTCGTACGATACTTGAACATGCTTTAAAATAATCAAGCGAATTAGCTTTGTTTTTTTTTTCTCTAAAAAGAATGGTATATGAGATTTTTCTAAACGATATCCTTATCATACGTATGATGTAAACGAAATGATCTCAAACTTTTAGCTTCTGTTTTCTTTTCTAGGGTAAAAAATGTCGTCGATGTATAAGATTCCTCCAGTGATGCCGGAAGATTTTGATGTCAAACCCTTAGACATCATGTATTCTATACCTAGCTATCATAGTACTGCTCCAAAGGTTACTTTTGTTTTGTCAGTCTCATCCAAATTTGATGAAATATTTCTAGGAATCAAGTGCTGAGTGCAATGGCATCACTGAGGATATGAACGATCCTGTGAAAATGATTGAAAAGAAACAGCAAAATCTAATCAATTCGATCAAGAACTTGGGGTCGACGCTAGAGGCTTTACTGCAGGAGATGGGAAAATGTGGTCAGTCTGTTAGCTTCGAATTTTCTTAATCGTTGCTTATCGCTTGTTAGTAAATTCATTCTTATGAGGGGGTCATAGTCCATAGCAAATTACGTATGCATTTATTTTGCAAAACTGTAAGACTACGAAAGAATTGTCAAAGTAACCAGAAACTCTAGCACA